CACACACACACACACACACCGGTATTTCACATGCCATTTGGACGTACTGTAAGAGCTTCCTACTTGTCCGGTTCTGCTCCACATAAGGTCTAGGGAAGATGCACACAAGTGTTTACACAGCAAGTCACTCTAGTGGCGACACACTGATATGCGGGCATGTCAGCTGCATGGGCGGCCGTTTCTCAAAATGTTTTAGGTAAACAGGCATATCCCTTTTTGTACGTTTGGTTTGAGGGGGGGTGACAATGAGGCTGAATCAAGAGCACTGGCCTGGAGGAGATGGAGATTTCTACTGGTCTAAGAGCATGTTGGGAGGTGTAAGCTCAACACCTGGGTGTATGCAGGGCTCCTCAGAAGGGGGGGGGGGGTGCCTTGGCAGCAGGAGACCTGGGAGGTGTGGAGGTGCAGACTACTGATGTCAGACATGGATACGGCCCCTACATACCCCCCAAAAGTGCACCACAGCATCTACCAGAGCCCACAGCAATTAAACCTCACAACAGCCCCTGTCCCAGCAGCCAATTAAGGGAATTAAGGGTGATCCAGCATAACGAGCTGGATGAAAAAAGTGTGGCTTTCTGTGGTTTCGTTAGGAATTTCCCACACTGAGGTCACACTCCCGCGGTTGACAAACCAAACAACAAGGGAAAACAAACGAATCAGTTCTGCGCGGGTCATCGACGAGCCCTGCCCAGAGCATCTGAACACAGGAAGGTTCCGCTGGACGTGAACAATGAAAAATCATTGTTATTAATATAGTAATAATTATTTGGGGGCACTTCTATTTGAAATCACTAATTAACCCAATAATATATTGAAAGGTGGTTATCTACTAGGAAATAAGCACTATATTTATTTAACACAGAATGTTTAGCGGAGAACTACAGCAGACCTGCTGTCACTGCTCCTAGGGGGCGCGCTGGGACATTCTGAAAAAGTTCTGGGACACTTTACACAGGTTCAAAGGTCAGCAAGGTGAACAGCTCCTAATCACTACAAGCAGGGGAAAGCCCAAGTCAACCCTAAGACGTTCCCATAACCAAGGTGGTCAGGTGGGTGAGCCAAGGTTAAAGCACATGTCACATGCAATGTAGCTGAAGATCACACTATGTTCCACCCTGTACATCTGACTGGACAGTGGGAATGACCAATCAGAAAGAGATGTGCTTTCTGTTTTTTTCAAACATTGCACTTTGACTGCATACCATACCGTGTGCGTGACACAAAAAAGCCCCCATTCTGCTCTAGTAACGAGAGAAGGAAACTCGTTGAAACTGCCTCATGTGACCAGTGGAGGCCGGCCCCACCCCAGGGCAAGACATGGCGGTGCCTCGGAAGGTACGCTGCTGTCAGGAAGCAGTGACACCCCCACTTAAAATAAGACCTAGCATTAAAACATCTGCTCGCGGCCAGTTGGGGGAGGGGAGGGGGCAGGTACACAGACATCAGCCTTCACAGAAAATTAACCACAGAATGAGAGTTCATAAAGACTGCTTGACACGACCAGCCAGTTCAACAAGTGGAAAAGGGGAGTCACCCTTTGGGACACCTCCACTGCGACAGGATTATATTTATGCTCTGTTACACCCCCCCCCTTAGGGCTGTCTGTGCTGCATGCTATGTGCAGGCAGAACACATACACACACACACACACACACACATACCCTCCAGCTTGAGCTGATTACCCAACAGCTGTGAGCCCCCCCACCGATTCCCCCACATGGATTTGCTGGCTGCACTGCAACCGTCTGCTGTCTGGGACAGTTGGAGACCCAAGAACTAGCACATCAATCACATAATACACTATGACCAGGCACACACACACACACACACACACACACACACAAACACAGGTTTGTGTAATTATATATTTGTGGGGACTCTCCATTCACTTCTATGGGGAAAATTCTAATCACCACATGACGACCTTAACTCCTTACAAGTCCTAACTTTTAATCATAAGTAACCAAACAAAATATGACACGATATTGGCATTTTTAATTTTTTGATTGCGTTCACAGGACATTTGGTCCCCACAATGTAAAATAAACCTAATCCACACAAACACACACACACACAGCCTGCACCTCAGCTACCCAGAAAATAGGAACCATCAAGCCCCCTCCCTCACAGGGAACACCCAGACTGTCAGGCGTGTCCCTCTGCTCCAATACAGTAACTCTGCCCCCCGTCTGCCGGAACATCATGTCCCAGAATGTCTCCTCGGTAATGATTAGGTAAAAACCCAGCCACTCAGGTCCCTGCTCTCACACTGCAGTTACTTGTATACGCCTTGCTCTGCTAAACTGGCACATCTCTGACATCCAGATAAGGTGCTGAAGCATGCCTGTCTAAAGCATGCCTGATGAAAAATGCTCGGGGTCTTTAGAGCATTCCCTGCTCACCGGCACCATGCACTGTTCCACTAAAACACCACGGTCGCCACGGGTCCAGTGTCACATGACTGCAGATACAGAAACCCCCGTTCAGAGGCCCTCAGGGCATTGTGGGCTTTCAATGGTTGCCACACCTCTTAATGCAGTGGTATTCAAACCTTGTTTGACAGGGTCGCCCAAGGGTTCATATAGTTGTCCTACCCCCCAACAGAACGGTATTCCAGATACGCAACATCATATTTTCTGTTTCCACTCATTAGCTTTCCTTTCCATCCCATTTTCCTTAAATGCTACCAGCAGCTCGAAATTTCTCCAAGGTTCCCCCAAGTATGTCAGCATTAAATGAGCAACTTTCCCAGCATAAACTTTCATTATATCGCTAGTCATACCAGTTCAGTGTATTTGTGTGGTGCCTGTCCATTTGGTAGATTTCAATTACATTCGCTAGCATCATGTAATCTGTACAGGCATATAATGTGCTCACATCATTTTTGATATTTTGGCAATTTCCAAATATATCTGCCCCCAACTCAAGCCCCCCAACCCAATTTCTTCGTGCCCAGCAGTTTGTGCTATGTTCCATTTACCTCGGAGGTCACAAGTCAGTACTGGGAATGACATCACACCTAAATCAACCGCGTTCCAGTACAAGTCAGAAAGCCATTCAGTAATAGCAGGGACCTGTTGCAGAAAGCAGGAAGTCTTGCTTAGCCGGATAACTTGTCGGATTTAAGGTATCCCAGTTTAAATGGCCTTTATCTTCATTCACTTACATTTAACCCAGAATACCTTAAATCCGACAAGTTATCTGGCTAAGCAAGAAACCCTGCTTTCTGAAACAAGCCCCAGTTTTACCCAGGTTCATTTTTAGATACTTTTTAGCAATACCAGTCAAGAACAACACATTATGTGGTATTTTGCCGATAAAAACACCGTAGCAACATATCAACAGATAAAGGTTGGACAAAACTGTCTGTACAACGAATTTATTAAGACACAGATAAGACGTAAGTGCTAATAAGCAATTTATAACTTTAGCTTTCACGTCTGCTGATGAAGGGTGCAGCCTTCATGAATTCTGAGGTTGGGGTTGCAGAGGTTCTCCGACTTTTTGAGTCAGAACTTTGAGCTCAGGGGATGTTCCAATTAAAATTTCTGACTTGGAAAATTCTGACTTCCCAGTTCAAATGGAACGCAGCATTGAAAAAATGTCTGTCTTAATGTCTTAATACTGGATATTTTTAGTGAGGAATCACCTTCTCCTAGTGTCTAAGGTGTAAATTAAACTGCAAAAGTCTTTAAGACCAGATGTTCACCAGGGATGAGATACAAGACCTTGGAAATTTGGGTAGAAATGATCCTGGGGTCAAAGGTCAGAACCCTGTGTCACAGGATGAGAGCAAAATGTATGTCACTATCCTCTTAACAGGAAGTGCAACAAATAGGTAACAGGCAGACCTGTCCAGTTATGCCAGAAGCCCACCCCCCTCCCATCAACTCCACCTTTACTGAGGTTTCACACCCTAGATAGGTTTTATTCCGGTTCCTTTACTGCATAATGC